TTTTATCCTACTTCTCAAAAGAACAACACCTGGTTCTCTTTTATTAGATTTATGTCCTTGAGCCTTTGTTTTCCTCATAAATATCTGTCCTCACAGATAAGTAGAAGTCAGGTGATAAACTCTGAACAACCATTTATTTCATTATATTCCTCCTGAACAGGACTTACAGTGTACAGACCAACTGTGATTCCCCTATTGGAAGAACCATGGATGGTGATAAAAGAAATTTTAGAAGGCCCTAGTCCAGGTGAGAGAATAACTGGCACATGGATTGGTTGCATTTAAAAACTTAAGGGGCCTCCCTGGTAGCTGAGGGGTTAAGTCTCAGCACTGTTACCACTACGACTTAAGTTCGATCCCTGGTCGATCCCTGGCCAGGGATCTAACCAGCATGGCACAGCAGACCTCTCCTATCTTGTCACTGCTCCCTTTAGCAGTGTATTTCAGTTTGCCTGTTCTCCCCACTCTGTCTCTGGTGAATCCTCTCCCCCACCCCACCACCCCACACCTCTGACCTATACCCCAGTTCTTCTCCACAAAATAAATAAATAAAAATCTTATAATAAAGGAGTAATTCTTTTAAAAAAAATTTTTTTTTGATGAATATTCCAGATAAGTATGGGAAGAGCTTCCCTTTTAAAAAACACTTCCTACATAAACATACCATTCTCTTATTCCAAATATTTTACATTAACATAATATTTAATGTGTAGTCAAATGTTCAGATTTCCCCAAAACACCCTTTATATTGGGTTGCTGGAAAAGTCATGACAGGTTTTTGCTTGAAAAAGAAAAAATACATTGTTAATTTTCCAACAACCCAACAATTGTTTTCTCCCTATTCCAGGATTCAATCAAGAATCACATACTCCACTTGATTATCTTGAGAATGTCTTTGCTTTTAACTTACAACTGTTCCTGAAACATTTTTTTTCTCCTTTGAAAATCTTCATGAATTAGGGGGCCTCCTTGGAGGACAGGGGTTAAAGTCTAGTGCTACAAAGCTTTTACCAGCCACTGCAGCCTGAGTTTGATCCCCAGCCAGGAAGCTATCCCCATTGTACAGCAGACCTCTCCTGTCCCACTGGCTGCTCGCCTCAGCAGCATATTTCAGTAGATCTGCCTATTGTGCTCCCCAATTTCTCTCTGGTGATTTCTCTCACCCCCTCCCTACACCTCTGGCCTGTGCTCCAGTTCTTGTATGCATAAATAAATAAATAAAATCTTTCATGAATATTTCTTGAAGGATCCAGGGTTTTGTTGTTGTTGTTTTTCCAAAGATTTACTTATTTATGCATACGACAACTGGGGTGTAGGCCAAAGGTATGTGGGAAGTGGGGAGTTGGTGGGAGGTTTCACCAGAGACAGAGTGGGGAGCAGAACAGACAGATCTACTGAAATACACTGCTGAGGGGAGCAGCGGGGAGACAGGAGGTATGCTGTGCCAGTTGGGTTAGCTCCCTGGCTCCACCAGGAATCGAACTCATACTTTAGTGGCTGGCAGTAGCTTATAGCACTGTGTCTTTAACTGCTTTACCATTTGGAGGCCCAGAGCCAGGGTTTTTTTTAGAATGATGTACATCTGTATTTACCAAGTTGTTTCCTATTGATTAGATTCAGAATATACATTTTGCTAAGAACATGGGTGTATTGTGGCTACTCAGAAAAATTCACACTATTAATTTTAGTCTTACCAATGACCTCAGTTTCATTCAGGTACTATCTTTGCTATTTTAAAGTCATTGTTTTCTTTGTGATTAGTAAATAATTATGATTTGGTATTTGGAGGTTACATGATTATTCTGTACCTATAAGACTTTTCTTTAAGATTTTTAGCATCCATTAATGATCTCTGCTTTATCATGTTGCTGGCTGTGAAATGGTGAATGGTGATTGTTGAATCTAGCCATCTCTAAGTGATTTAAAGCTTTCTCCAGTGATGAACAGCTATCCCTCCTCCCATCCGTTTTTATGTGTATATCACAATGGATTAGTGGGATTTTCAGAACTTAAAAGTGTTATTAGTGCATTAATTCCAGTTTGGTTTATTTTTAATGCTCATTTGTTCCAAATTTTGGCAGTGGGACTCTTTCACACCAAGTCCAGTGTCCTTTAGAGATTTCCAGTTAGTCGTTACGCATTTCCTTTTTTCTTGTACAAATGTTCTTTAGGTTTACCTTATGTTTACCTTAGACTTGGAATTTCTGTAAGGAATTTTCTTTTAATTTTATGGAAAACTGTGCTATCATTGTCCCATTACCATGGATCTAGATCTCTATCTGTTAGATCAATTCAATAGGCAGAGCTAGAAAATATAAGTAAATATGCATATACAATGTACACGTGTGTATTTTCGATCATGAGTCCATTCTAGTAACTAATTCAAATCTAGCATCTCAAGGGTATTCCATTTTCTATTTCCTTTCCCATATAGTGAGTAGCCTGAAGCCAGTATATTTATTCACTTGCTCTGTATATACACACAAAATGATTTTAGAACTACATCAATGGCAAAGTTTAAAAAAAATTTTTTTTAATATTTAGGGTTATATTTTTGTTCTGCTTGTGCATGTTCCACTCAAACTTCACCAAACACCCATGCTACTACCCCATCTGCCTCCCTCCCCTCTTTTCCTTCTAGTAACCATTACAGTTTTTCACTGAGTTCAAGATTTATTACTACTGTATTTTGCCTATGTATGTTTTTGGTTATTTATAGATACTGATTGGTTTCAAATCACATGTGGAATGTAAATAAAGTCAAATATACACTCTGGGCCTCCCTGGTGGCACAAGGGGTTAAGTCACAGTACTGTGAAGCTACCCATAGCCACTGCAGCATGAGTTCAATCCCCAGCCAGGGAGCTACCCACATGGCACAGCAGACCTCTCCTGACTCTCCTGCTGCTCCCCTCAGAAGTATATTTCAGTAGATCTACTTGTTCTGCTCCCCACTCTGTCTCTGGTGAATCCTCTCACCCCCCTCCCATGACCCTTGTTCCTCTGGCCTACACCCCCAGTTTTTGTATGCATAAATAAATAAATATTAGGAAAAAAAGATACACACTCCCATTCCTACTACCCTCTTCCTACCCATTCCCTATCAGTGATATGTATCCCTAGTATAGTATAATCCTTTGTGCATAGGATCCCTGTCAGCCTCCTGTCTTGGTTGGACTTCGTTTCCTGTCCCCTGAGTCCCTTGAACCTTCAAAGTAGAAGCTTAAGGGCATCAACAGGATTGAGGAACTATCTCAGGCAGACAACTTCTCTTGCTCACTTTCTGTCTTCCTGCTTTGGTTAGGATAACTCAAACTTCAGAAACTGAAAACTTTTTTGACAACTCACAAATAAAGTAATATTAGGGATTTTCAGACCGGGAATCAAACTTTTGCTGCACTGCCTGGCTACAGCTTGATAGCTCTGTCTTTAACCCCTGTGCCGCCAGGGAGGCCCAGAACTTTTATAATTCTTTATATTGGACCTAGCCATTCTTTCACCTTACATTATTACCACCACCTTCACTACCCCCAGAGTCTTCGGCCATATTCTAAAGAAAATATAGAAGAAACATGAACAAAGTTTGCAGCAAAGCTGGATATAAGCACACAAATTTGTATAATAACGTAAGACCAAGTTCTGTCACTGTCTCAAAATTTAGTTAGGTTGAATTAAAAACCTATATATAGGTTTTAATCTATAAAACCTGTGACATTTTGTCATATCCAAAAAAGTCAGTTCTATATGATTCAACCTAATATGTATTTTAAGACTTTAAGGAGAGAGAAAAACTTGGTCATTAGCATCTTTTTCAGTAAGTACAAGAGTTAACTTAGAGAAGGCCTAGAGTCTAGAATTGGCATGTCAGCTATAAAGATTTGAGGAAGAAGATTCAAGCTTTTAGTGAAGCTAAATATTAGGTGTGGTAGAAGATATAGTAGAGAATAGAAAAGGCCTAGATTATTTTGGGAGCCAAGTAGAGCTCTTTTATTTTCACATTTAACTCATTGTTCTTCAAACTTTTAATATATAGCAAAGCCACCTGGGAGGCATACTAAAACAGATTGCTTAGCCCTCACCTTCAAAGTTTCTGATTAAATACATCTGGATGAGGCCCAGTTATTTAAAACATTCCCATACAACAGTGGTGCTAATGGCACCACAAGTCTGGGGAGACTGTACTTTTGAGAACCATTGTTTTAGGCACTAGGAGATTTACTAGAGATAGTTAAGCCTGGGAAGCAATCCATGAAATTACTTTAGGAATACTGTATAGGGTTATACAGAGTAGATTGGAAGGAGTCATACCTACTTTATGAACTCACTAGATAAATTAATCCCTGAAGTCATTTCAAATTACCCTGCAGCCTTATCCATTGTTTTTACTACTTTTAGCTCTATTTTATGACCTAATCTATTTATTTACTTTGTACATACTGAATAGTGAAAACCTCCCCCCCCCTTTTTTTTCCCCACTCCTTTATTTTTCCTTTCCCAACTTTTCAGACCATGTTATAAAGATGTCATAGCCATAGTCCTTGTAGGCACTCAATTTCATTATTTTGTTTCTATTTAACAGTTTCCTTTCTCTAAATAGAAGAAAACTCAGTATTATTTCTGTTTCAGAATGGGAAACCAAAGCTCAAGAGTGCACTCCAGCAGAGAATACTTCTAAATTCACAAAAACTGGAACCCAGACCATCAAATTGGAAGAACCATATGACTATGATAATAAACTAGAAACACAAGCAACATTTGGGAAAATTCCCTTGAATGAAAGAGATTTGATTTTGAAGTCAGACTTTTCACAAGAAGATGACCCAACAGAAGAGTGTCTTAGTAAATATGATATTTATAGAAGTAATTTTGAAAAGCACTCAGGCCTGCTTATACAATTTGGTACCCAATCAGATAATAAAAGGTATATGTATAATGAAGACAGGACAGCCTTCAATCATGTCTCTTATGGTATTGTACATAGAAAAATACAGCCTGGAGAGAAGCCTTATAAATGTAATGTGTGTGGGAAGAAGTTTAGGAAAAACCCATCCTATGTGAAACACCAAAGTACCCATGCCAAAGAGAAGTCTTATGAGTGTGAAGAATGTGGGAAAGAATTTAGGCACATCTCATCCCTTATTGCACATCAGAGAATGCATACTGGAGAAAAACCATATGAATGTCACCAGTGTGGTAAAGCCTTCAGCCAGCGTGCACACCTTACTATACATCAGAGAATTCATACAGGAGAGAAACCCTATAAATGTGATGACTGTGGGAAAGACTTTAGTCAACGTGCACACCTTACTATACATCAAAGGACACATACTGGAGAAAAACCATACAAATGCTTGGAATGTGGCAAAACTTTTAGCCACAGTTCATCACTGATTAATCACCAGAGAGTTCATACTGGAGAGAAACCTTATATATGCAATGAATGTGGGAAAACCTTCAGTCAGAGTACACACCTTCTTCAGCATCAAAAAATACATACTGGGAAAAAACCATATAAATGCAATGAGTGTTGGAAAGTGTTTAGTCAGAGTACTTACCTTATTCGACATCAGAGAATTCATTCTGGAGAGAAGTGTTATAAATGTAATGAATGTGGAAAAGCCTTTGCTCATTCCTCAACTCTTATTCAACATCAGACGACTCATACTGGAGAGAAATCCTACATATGTAACATATGTGGGAAGGCCTTCAGCCAGAGTGCAAATCTTACTCAACATCATAGAACACATACTGGAGAGAAACCATATAAATGCAGTGTGTGTGGGAAAGCCTTCAGCCAGAGTGTACACCTTACTCAGCATCAGAGGATTCATAATGGAGAAAAGCCCTTTAAGTGTAATATATGTGGGAAAGCATATAGACAGGGTGCAAATCTTACGCAGCATCAAAGGATTCATACTGGAGAGAAACCCTATAAATGTAATGAATGTGGGAAAGCCTTTATTTATTCTTCATCACTTAATCAACATCAGAGAACTCATACTGGAGAAAGACCCTATAAATGTAATGAATGTGATAAAGATTTTAGCCAGAGAACATGCCTTATTCAACACCAGAGAATTCACACAGGAGAGAAGCCCTATGCATGCCGTATATGTGGTAAAACCTTCACCCAGAGTACAAACCTCATTCAGCATCAGCGTGTTCATACAGGTGCCAAAAATCGTAATTAACCAATATGGGAGACTTCATTTTGATTTTATAAGTCATTTACATTTTATTTTGTACTCTTTAAAACATTCAGAGAAATCCAAAGTAAGTGCAATATATGTTAGATATTACTCAGTAGACGTATCAGAATTAGTTATGTGGGTATAACCTATTTAAGCTTAATGTGAACTTTAAGGATAGTTATTTACTTAACCTTTACTTGATATCAGTTTAATTCATTCAAGAAACATGAAAGTAAGAGTATTCAAAAACTTTTGACTCATCAACTCTTCCTGTAATTCAAGTACTTTCTTAATGAGGCCTTATGACTAACTTGGGAAAGCTTCGATCAAGTAGAGATTTCACATTAGAGAGCTACCCTGGCATTATAGAAATAAGACTGCTGTTAAGTCTTTATTTCTTACCAGCTTTGAAGCCTTAAGTATGTAGAAGGTTCCCTTCCCCCTTTTAACTTCTTTTTTCCATTAATGCCATACTATAATGGGAAGCCAGCAGATTCTCAAAAAGAAAAAACTTAGAAGTATCTTAGTGGTTTCTATGTGACCACTATTTAATTTACATGTTCTTTTAAATAGTAAGGAAGAGGAGCTTAATGGATGATACTCTTATGATAAATAAACTAGTGTTGTGTATATATATAGACAAGTATATAAATTTAGTTAACTATAAAAATTAAACACCCCCACTTAAATTAACATTTAAAACATACTGGCCTCAGTTTCACTAGTTTTTGGCATCTGAGGTCATCCCAAAGGAAAAAATAAGTATATAGTATAGCTTCCCTTTTTGTTAACCTGAATTCAGAACTTAAGGTTTCCTGTGACTGTTGTACTATAAAATGTACATTTCTTCCATTGAAATACTAATTTTTGAATGCCTGTGCTGAGGGCCCAAGTTCCTAATTGCAGCCTTTCAAGGCTTAGTTGAGTACTGAATATCAGCAGTGATTTAAGCAACAAAAAGCATGATGAAAGATTACAAAAGACATGATTTTAACTGTCATGGGATGAGCATAAGAAAACTAAAAAGGATAGCTAAATGCTAGCCCATATCCCAAGATAAAAAAGTAATTAGAGCAGCTTTATAAATAATGTCATAAAGGTGAACAGAGTAGATTTGACCTGCAGAAAGTAGGTGAAGGATATAAAATCAAGGTGAAGAAAAGAAGACATAAGTAACATAAAATGAAGTGTTACTGAACTTGGTTTACTTAAAGTGACTAAAACAAATCAGCCTGTTTATAAAAGCATGAAATTATTTTAAAGTGCTAACTGGAATTAGTATTCTTTCATATAATAAGGTAGAGATTCTTAGAATATCAGGAAAAATTGAAAAAAATTCATTGGGAAAAATGCTGATTCAGAAACTCATTGATATGCTAATCATTAAACAGTAAAATAATTGAATTTGTGGGTCCTAAACAACAAAAGGAGCACTGGCAGAAATGCAAATGGAATTAAGGGGGAAAAAATAGTGTTAATATCCATATCATACCATTATCAGAATATAAGATCATATTCTGAGAGCTGAGATTTTTATCTCTTGTTTCTTCGGTGCCTTGCATATAGTAGGTGATCTCTATATATATATTGGTTGAATTAATAAGTAGAATTAAGTAATAAGATAGAATTAACTGATATGGAGTAAAGTAGAAAGAATTTCAAATATTTTTTATGCATACATGCAAAGAGATTTAATAAATACTGGTTCATTTACTGGATAATAGGAACAATTTGAAAATGAATCAAATTCCCAGTTCTTTGAAAACATTCCTAAAGGAATTATGGGGATCTTTGCACCAGAAGTTTCCAGAGCAAGGTAAAGGGAAAACATGGGGATTCTACTGCCATAATACCACATTAAACGTATAATGACCACACATCTTCATTTGGACATTACTATTTACGAAAACACCCTCCAAACAGTTATAGAAGGAGACTTAGATTGCTAATTTGAGTGTTTTCTTCCAGAAATTTTTGCTTTCCCACATTAGTTAGCCTTGATGTCATGGAAGCATCCTTCACAAAGTGCATATCATCTCCAGATTGCATAATATCCAGATTATGCTTATGCCATAGTTATGTTTAAAAAAAAAGAAAACATTGTATTTAAGATGCAATTTTTATAATGCCACGTCATAACCTTACACATTTTTCTCTTAGAATGAATGTGTGTTGTAGAGTCCCTAGGCCTTTCTTTGTGTTAATTTGTATTTCCTGCCTTTGTGTTTTATGTAAATAATGCATTTATAAAGTCTTCCACAAATAGACTGAGGCAACTAATGCCCTTATAAAATAATAGAATAGTGGAGAATCCTAAATCTTTGTTTACTTTTAACTACCCACTTTTACAGTTGTCTGATTCAAGGTTATAGCAGAAAATCAACTGTATGCCACTTCGATTTAAAAGTAGCTTCTTTGACATATTATTCACAAATATTTAAGCATGCATCACCAAAAAAAAAAAGTCTTTCATAAACCCCAATACCATTTGAGGTCAGATCTCAAAAAATGAACAGTAATTTCTTAATTTCTAAACCTTAATCCATGTTTAAATTTTTTCCTGTTTATTCAGTCAAATCACATCACATTAGATCGTTATCTGCTTCATCTCTGGAATAATCTCCCACCTTTTTTCCCCAGGGTATTTTTTTTTTTAATAGATCGATTGTCTTATACCCAGCATTTAACTCTTTGTATGTGGTTTATCTTATTCCTGTATTTCCTATGATTTATATAAATTGTCAGCTCCAAAGGCTTGACTGGATTCAGGTTAAACATCTTAACATTGACACCTCACAGATGTATTTTCTATTATATCGCATCTAAATTTTCATTAATGTCTGATAGACCTATCAGTGATGTAAAATTTGATCAACTGACTGAAGTGGTAACCGCCCTACCTTCCCAATGTAAAGGTCATATTTTTTTCTATTATGGATAACAGATAATCTGTGGACTAACATTTTGACAGCATATGGGTATCAAGCAATCTTTCACTGATGGTTTCAATAATGATCCTTCTTTGAATCATTTCATCAAGCAAAATCAAGACTTCCTAATTCTACCTTTCAAAATTGATATGGCCATTCTTTAAGGAAGAGCTTTCCCTCATCAATTGGAAATTAAATGGGCTCAGTTCTTTAATTGCCTATTTTCAGAGTAAGAAGTTGGTAATGATTACAAATAATACAATGTGCTAAAATAATTTGTTTCTAATGTTCAAATTGTCCCCAGATTTGACCAGTTAAAACCTTTCAAGTTGCTCTCATGTCCTTTGACATTCCTTCTCTGGTCTTTGGGCACATAATTGTCTTTGACAAAAGATATCTCAGGTTCACCTTGCACTTTTCAATGCCACAGAAATGGAATGAGCCATTTCTCCAGGAATCCCTGGCTCTTTAGTAGACAACTACTTAGAAACCAAGATCTGGGTACCAGACATGCTCATTGCTACCAGGGTGTCATTAGCAAATAGCCTTTAAGTCTTTGCAACTGTTCAACTCAGTTTTCATAAAGACAACTCTTTGCACTCACTTACATACCTTCTATATATTGATATAATGGGAGATACCACATGCTGGGACAGACTATTTTAGGAGCAACCTAAGTCTTGCTAAGTGCACAACTAAAGTGGAGAGAACAGAGTTATGTACCCTAGAAAGCAGTAAAGTTAACTAAAAGAGAGCTATGCATCATCAGCATATTTTCAAAGGAAGGGAGCTTGTCCGTTATTCTAGGAAGAAGGTTAAGTAGAGAGCAATTAAATGTATGCCTACTATGTGCATGTTAACTATTACATGTCTTGGTAATTTACTGTATAAGCTAATCACACTCCTTTCCCATCACATCCTTGATGCTGGTTTCTTGATAACTTCTCAATTTGAATTCTGAGCATGTTTCATGCAAATCTAAAGTTTTTCTTGCTAAAGTTCTACTTGGTCTTCAAAATTGTAAGGCTGTTAAAGTTTTTCATTCACTATAACTTCTGATATCAGTTCACTTGCATGTACCTGTAAATGTACTCTTAGTCCCCAAATTTCTGTTACTCTCCTCGTGGCTCTATATTTCACTATAAGCCCCTTGGAATACGATAGCCATATAGTGTAAGCATGTGCACTATAGCGATGTGTATAAATATGTGTGTGAACTTGTACACCAACATCGAGTCCTCTACATGATGGGGAATGTGATGATGCCCCTGATACTGAAGTGTCTTGTTTGAGGTCATATAGTCATACAGTGACAAAATAAGGATGGAACCCATGGCTCCCACACTTAGTTGAATTCTTCCTGTAAAATAATGTTAAAAGAAAAATCAGCACAAGTAGTGTGTACCTACAATTTTATAAAATATGTATTTTGATGAGATTAGACCATTGAAATTTTTATTTTCCTTCTGTATAGTCTCTTAAATTCAGATCTTTAGATGAGACTAGCTCTACCACCACTACTCCCACCTTCAACTCTGATTTCCCACCTAGCTCTTCCTGAAGTTTCAGAACAAATGATCACCTAAAACTACCTGATGTATACTTCTGATGGTGATGTCTAAAACTGAATTGTTTCTACCCCAGAAACCTCTTCTTGTTTACCATAGCTTTGACAGGGTGGCTAGAGGCCACTCTTCACCAATGGTCATTTGAGCACTACGAGCTTTACCTCCTGTATTCTAGTTCATTTTCATTCTCTTCCTACTGCCATTACCTCATTTCAGGCTTTTAATCAGCTTTTGTTCAGGTTACTTACAGTCATGTCAGTGATCACTTTCCTCCTAACCTCACATTTCCAGAGTACCTTCAGCCCTGCCAGTCATCTGAAGTACCTGACCAGGCCCACCACTACAGCTCTACCGATTAGGAAGCTATACAGACAAAGTGGCATTGGGCTATGGCACCATTTGCTTAAAACTCCATCAGTGTCTTCAGTTAACAGCAATGGATCTTATTCTTAGCTACACGGTGGAATGACAGGGGGAGCTCTTATATTTACCAGCACCAGGGCCCCACCTCCAGAAATACTCATTTCACTTAGAAAGGGGGTCTGGATATCAGTATGTCTTCAACCCTCCTGGTGATTGTAATGCTCTAAAGTAGAACAAGGACAGAAGTAGGGGGACCAGCTAGGAAGCTACTACAGTGACTCGGAGGAGAAACAGTCACAGTAGAGGTGGTAAGATGTGATATAACAAAGAAGGTATTTTGAAGTCTGCAGGACTTGCTAATGAATTGGATTGGGATGTGAGAAGAATCAAGGCTGGCTATTTCTTACTGGAGGATGTTCTCCTATAAGAGACTACATCATACTCATTTCTGCATCTCTATCAAGCACAGCACCTGACACGTAGTGGTATGTAGGCCCCCAATAAATGATTAGAAATCCCTGCAGGAGTTTGCACAATCAAAATTGTAGCTTCAGAAGATTACATGTCTGTCTAGAAGAGAAGGGCTTGGATTTCTATCCCTCGTACAAACATACACTAGCCTATTTAATGAACACCGGCAGATAACATGGGACTCATGGCAAAAGCAATAGCCACTACCATTGGCTCCCCACAAGTCACAGGAGGTGATAACAAGTGGACCTGGAAGGATTCTAAAATATTAGACTACATTATAGGAAAGCAACTGTTAAGCTTCAGGGAACCATTACTCAAGTGTGAGTGAGAAGCAAGGACACTGCACTCCAGGGAGAAACGGCCCTGGTATTTGCTCGCTGTGACACAAACCTGAGAAGTAACCCAAGCAAAGAATAGCTAGGAACTTGCATTCTTGCCATGGCCAGTAGAAAGGAGTGGGGATGCTCAGAGTCCATGGCATATGGCTCTCCCAATACTGTCCTTTCGAGTGTACAAGTTTGGAAATCTCACACCGATACAGGATGTAAAATGAAGTTGCCTATGTCAAGCCTATAAAGCAGTTGTCTTTTCCTAATGTAAAAACATTTACATTAGGATCGTTTAAGAATGATCCAAAGAGAGATCTATACCCAGAGTCTGAAAAAATAATGATCTTATTCCCACTGTACATTCATTAAAAATCATTCCCAGAGTACTATGTTCTGAGCATATTTTAGACTAGGGTGTAACACACTACTCTGATTTATGTAGTTGCAAGACAGTTTTCTAATGTGAAATTCAATGCCAACAGTCTCATTGGGACATAGCCACATATTTAATATTGTCTGTGGCTGTTTCCCTGCTAAAAGGCAAATGTGAACCATACAAATATATTTACTGTCTGAATTTTATAGAAAAAGGTAGGTGACTATCTACCTTTACTCAATGGAATGGAGGTTTATGTCAATGGAGTAAAACACTAGGTAAATTAATAAAAGGAGCAACACTCATGGGGATAGTGTCAGGAAATAAAAAGGGCTCAAAAGCATGGAAGGGGTAAAGAGGTACATCTCCAGAAGAGAAGGATGGCAAACAGAAGAGCCGTCAGTACTGCTCCGAGAACTCTGGAAGAGCAGCGTCAATCTATAACTCTGTGTCTATAACTGTCTTAAACCAGCAGAGTCAAGCAGTATGTGGAGGAGAGGAGCTATATGAAAGGGTTAGCTAACAGATTCAACAGGGGAGGTCTTCCCTTTCTGGAGTGGCTGGTGTTCAAGCACTTTTCCTAATGTGCAGAAAGGGCAGCTCTTGGAAGTGAGGCCTCTCTTTTTCTCATATCTGAAACCTTATTTGGCCCCCACACCTCCCTGAAACCCAACTTCTTCCAACCCCAGAGGAGCTGCAAGTCCTTCCCATGCAGCAGGCTGACCCCTAACGCCTGTGGGAGTACCTGACATCTGGCCTAGAGAAAAGTGACAACAAAAGAACTAAGCTTACCTTTGGTGTAGAGGCACTCAGAACTCAAACTCATTCACTGCAGCCATCATTATGGCAGCTGCCATCATCTCCAAGCAAACTGCAGCCACATCCTCTCCTCAGTCTCCAGATGGACTCTGAACTGCTTCAGCCGTCATCCAGTGTTCCTAATCAGTAGCCCACACACCAGCCTTTTGAAGCAAATCTCAGTATCATTTTATCTATAAAAGTGTTAGTATACATTTCAAAAGATTTTGGAAACCTTTTAAACATTGCATTTTTAAATATTTCCTTGATATCAAAAATCAATCATTTCCCTATTTGATATGAATTTGTCATTTTTAACAAATTGAGTCAGAGTTTAAATACATTAATGCGTTCCACAATTTGCACTTGATTGGTCATTTAAGTCTCTCTTGTTTTCTCAATCTATTAGTTCCCCTGACACACTCATTTCTTTTCATATATTTCTGGGTCTTTCGTCCTGTAGCATTTTCCGAAACTCAGACTTTGATTCACTGGGGTGACTTTTCCCCCAAACTGTATCCAGCTTATTAAAGATAGCTTTCCTAAACAATCATATTCCAGGCAGGATATGGGCCAACAATTGTTTATAGTATACAACTTTCAAACCCCCTCTAGAGTGGACTCCCAAAATCTGCCCATTGAGACCCAGTGAAGTCTTCATTCCATGCTCTGAACAGGGACAGTTTAGCGAGTTGACATTTCACATTTAGCATGTTGTTTAACAACTTTTTTTTTACTAGCCCAACCCTGACTCTCCAGAAATGAAATGAAAATGGCAAACTTACCTCAAGGTCCACGACCTAGAAAAGGAAGCCCCCTCCTTTTGAGGCATATCCCGGTCGTGGAGACACTGGTGAGTTCAGAGTGACATACTGGTAAGCGCTCTTCTGAAATTGGGGTTCAACAGTTCTCTTAGGGCTTAAAAGGAATCAAGTCTATGCTCTAGGCAGAAAGGGAGAAGAGGACATAAAAAAGAATTTTAATTTTTCCATTACTACATGATGTCTTTGCCGAGGTGGCTAATTTGTGTCGAAATAACAGAATCCTTCCTGGGAACCAAGAGGAAGTCTCTCAGAACTAGGAAGGGATTTTTCCCCACATTAATCCAGATTCAGAGACCTCCTATTAGTGCCATATCCTTTTGCTTAAAATACAAGGAAGTGTTCTATGTACTAACAATTGCAGCTTTAAAAAAAAATTCATTTGTATAAAACTTTGACCAAAAACAGTCTTTCAAGCTGGACAGTCACAAGAAGGAGATAATTTGCTTGTGTGGAAGCAGGCATGTAGGGCTAGGGAAAAGCAACTTGAGAGAAGCCCCGGAGGAGAGGCTGGGCTCTCACAGAAGGCAGCATTCATACACAGCCAGGAAGTACACACCCACTAAGTCCAATGTTAGAGAAGTGGCCTCCAGACTTCGCATTTCTATTAAAAATAACTTGATCACTCGCCTTTAGTATACATTATATTATATAGGTTTTAGTACATGGCTGTGGTATAAATGACTTTAAAATTAAGTACTTCTGTCCTCCCATTATTAGCATCTATGGCCAGCACCTATGGTCCTGCACGAGAGAGCACATGCATGTGCATACGTAAATAGGGACACCCGTGCCGAGGGGGTGTGAGGCGGTATAAGGGCAGCCTCCCTCTGAGGTGGTAAAATGACAAGGGACAGGAGACATCCAGAGAAACAGAGAATGCTGGTCTGTCCCCTGAGTCAGCATTCAAAGCCTGTAGAAATCCACCGAAGGCTCCAAAATTATCTTTTCAATAGTGAGAACTAAAGATAAACCTATCCAGCCTTAGATGGTTGCAAAACAATGACTCATTCGAGCATTCAAACCCATTTCCACATTTGCCTCCCAAGAGGAATCTAGAACTGAGGAAAGCTCCTTCTTCTACTTTTCCCTGGTAGAAGAGGGAGAACCCAAGAGCAGGAAGAAACTAGAAGTTATTTACCACACAAATGTTTGCCACCTTTTCTCTCACCACGCACTTTGGAATACACTGCAAAGCAACATGACTAGGGAAAGAAAGGCCCTGTAACATGTTGATATTGAAGGACTGACCTCCCTGTAAAATGCCTAGGTGTCCAGAGCAGCATTTTCCAATACATGTCTCTTTGGCATGTGGAGCTAAGGTTATTCAAGGCCCCTCAGGTCTCCAGAAAAATTGTTACCGTTACCTTAAAGAGTGAATGGATCATGGAGATTTAAAGTCAGTACCATAAATAACCTTTTTTTCAGAGAACTGCAACTTAAGGTAGGGAAAAAGCTTTCAGCATCTGATTTTGCCATATGAAGTCATCCTCTCCTTGTTATGAGACCCCTATCTCTCACTTTGATACCCTAACCCCCTATCCCATTCCTTACCTCGGGAGATAAAACCGTCAGTCTGTCAACTCACTCTAAAATGTACAACTATGTAAATTCTCCATATGTATGTAATTAAACTTGTTCTTTTTCTCCTGCTAACCTGATGTTAACTT